AAGAGAGTCTCGTTCTTGAGTGTACTTGTGTTCTTAGACACGTTGAGAGAAAGTATTTCTCTCGTTGATTCAAAGGAAGGTCTGTTTCCTTTGAAGGATTCGTTGAGGTTCGTGTGACTCGAACTCTCAAGTTGTAACGGTTTGTTAAGCACCCGCAAGCTTAACGAGATAGTAGTGTAGCTCGAGAGAGTCTCTCGGGAGGCTGGATTAGCCACAAGTTGTGATGAACCAAGGTAAAATTCGGTGTGCCTTTTACTCTTCTCTTTACTTCTCTTTTAATTTTTAAATTCCTACGATTTCTCCGATCAAACGCTATTCACCCCCCCTCTAGCGTTGGTCTATTATTCTAACAATTGGTATCAGAGCCTAACTCGCGTCCAAACTTAACCGTTTGAGAGTAAAGCGATCATGGGTTCTTCTTCTAGAAATCTTTATGCAGGAATTGGAGAAGGTCAATCAACCTCGAGGCCACCGCTCTTTGATGGCACCAACTACACATATTGGAAAGAGCGGATAAGAATTTATATCCGCTCAACCAACTTTCAGTTGTGGTTGGTCATCAAGAATGGCGAGGAAACTCCTATGAAGAAGGTCGATGAAAAACTCGTCTCAAAGACCGAGGACGAATTTGATGCCGAAGACATCAAAAAGGTGGAGAACTACGCCAAGGCTATCAATATGCTGTACTGTGCCGTCAATCCTGATGATTATCGTAAGATTTCTTGCTGCACCACTGCCAAAGAAATGTGGGACAAGCTAGAGGTCACATATGAAGGTACGGACCAAGTTCGGGAAGCCAAAATTGACTTCCTAACGCAGGAGTACGAGATGTTCAGGATGAAGGAAGGAGAAAAGATCGATGACATGTTCGATCGGTTTTCAAAAATCATCAACGACCTTCACGCTCTCAAGAAGACGTACACCAACAGGGATCTCGTGAGGAAAATCCTGCGAAGCCTCACACCCGAATGGAGATCAAAGGCAGACGCAATCTATGAATCCATCGGAGTCTCAAATGTCACCATCGACGGGCTAAGAGGTAATCTCAAAACTTATGAATCTACTATCCTAACCCCGTCTTTGGATGAACAAAAGAAGAA